AAATACCTTATTTTATGACAGTTAGAGAAACATTTAGCATTCTCATTTAGTTGACCTTAATTTCCTCAGATAACCTATTTAGTGCATCAAGATACTTTTACATTTTTTATTAATTATTTATTATTTTATTGAGAGTGTGAATTAACTTTGTTTTCGATTTAATTTTATTTATTTAATTTAGAACATCAAGTTCAAGTAAATCAAAGTGGATAACATTGCTTACACAGCTAGCTGCAATAAGTATTCTTTTTATGTTTTATTTGAAGGTAGCACTGATTATGATTATGTAAGTTTTTGACTCTTCTAAAGCAAGATACCAAAATATTTTTGCAGATATTTAAGAAACATGCTAAGTAAACATTTGTGTTTATCTGAAAAACAATGCTAAAGTCAAATATATTCTGCTTTAAAAATGTGAGTTATGTGTCGGAATGTCTGTCTTTGTTTTGGTTCCGATAACCCACCCAATGCCAGTTTAGCCAATTATATTTTAGCATCCCAGGATTCCGTCATAGAAAACCACGTATTTCATTCTTTCAGTCATTCAGAAAGGCTCCCAAAGCATGTGCCCGTGACAAAAATGAAACCTCCGGTGGACAACAGCAGCGTCTGAAGTGAGACGCAAATTCAGAGTTCCACATGAGGTGGTTGTTAATTAGAAAAAAGATAAATATTACAAACATAAACATTGGATGAGCAGGTTAGACTGTAACCCCGTGTCCTAACAAAACGTTACGTGACAAGATTTGCAGTGATGAGCAATTCGGCTGTTTGCACCAGACGAAACTCGACGTAAATTTAAATATAGCCATTCAGAAGCACAGAATAGTGCACTTACTGCACTCCAACAAAATGGTAAGGTTTATAATGTAATTAATACATATTAAACCTCTTTAACATTATTAAATTAAGATGCTGAATCACTGATTTGGGTAAGGTGCAGCTGCTTTCATTAGTATGGCAATAAATGTCATGTAGAATGGCATTCAAACTCACAATATTAGCATTAAAGGAATGCAATACCTAGTTCAAGCACTGGGTGTCAAACTTACATTCTGCACCATTCATTTGAAGTAAAAAAAAAAAAAATCTGGTATTAATTTATGGTTTTATTTTTAACAAAAATATAAAATGACTACATCTCCAAATGAAATAAAATAATTAAATCAATATAGACAATAAAATCAAAACAAAAACTCTAACTATTAACAAAAACGGTTCATTATTGTCAATTAATGCAACTAATAACTGTGGAAATGAACATGAACTACAGAATAATCTGTTTTTTTAGAAGTATTTGTCATTAAGCTCATGTATACAACTGTTATTTACTACCTGTTAAGTTTAACCAGAGTTAAACAATGTTACTTAAAATAAAAACCAAAAGTAATAATTGACAAATTAATTGTTAAATAATAAAGAAAAAACATATTTATTCTCAATAATACTAAACAACATCGATATTACAGAAATATTGTACATGATAAAATACAAGTCTGCATCACATATGACTATTTTTAAACCAATCTAACTTTGAATGAACTCATGTTGTACAGCATGAGTTTAATCATTGCTAATGTTTGCCCTTGAAAGGCAAGGTAAAAGGTGAAAAGCTCAAATTTTCTGTCACTAGCTGGACCGATTGGGTTTCTCCACTGAATGGCTCATTACAGATAGCCCAACCCTCAAACTTACACCATTGGCTGAGCCACAATAAACTGAGGTTTCAGACTGTTTAAACAAACAGAGCAATGTTTAGACTTAGACAAAGCTTTTACGGTCCTCACAGGAGTCAACAAATGACTTGCTTTTAGTTTAATCAGCATGTAAAAATCAGAGAATTTTGATATCAAGGAATATCCAGGGTGCTTTTTTAAGACAGTTGGCTTGTTTTCTTGCTCTGCTTGGTTCTTTTCGTGCACATATGAAAATGTTTATGTCAAGATTATGTCTTGAGCATCTGATTTTTCCTTGCCTAAGTGCTTTCATTTTCTCTGTATCATTTGTTGCAGGTTCAGGAGAGAGAGAGTGTTTAATAAGAAACCCATGGCTGGAAAATATACGTTTATATTTCAAAGAAAATATCTTAATATTAAACAGTAATCATAAGTTTGATCCTATACATTTCATAATAAATGCCCTTAAATAATGCAGTAATTAGTGGTCTCCAATCATCAGTGCTTGAATCAGTGAGATTGAAATAAGATTAAAAAATATATTGAAATTGAGATAAGAAATATCGTTATAGCAACATTTGTGACTGCTTTGGGAAATAACGCTCATCGTAGATGTCACAAGATGACTGATTGTGAAGGAATGTGTAGTATGGCACATTTGTTACCCACAAGTGAAGATTTTATCAAGAAAAATAAATAAATAAATAAAGAAATAAATAAACAATTTGCATAATCTGACATAGTGACTTTTGTAACTGACAATAAAAATCGTGTTATCTGAGTGGGGCTTTAATCTTGGTTAAAATATTATAATTTCTTGTACACAAATGGTTTAGAAACACTTTAAATCTTACAGTCATAGGTCTTAAAAACAAAGCAAACAAGCAAATAAAAATGTTCACTGCATTAAGATTAAACTTCACAATGTTGTTCCTGGTTAACTAGGGATAAAGTACGAATAAACTAAAACTGAGGTTAAACTGAATTGACATTGCTGATTTTTTTATGTGAATATTGCGGATTTGTACATTGCGATAATAATGTCGAAACGGTATATTGTACAGCTCTAGTGTTTGTTTTGCTAATGTCAATTGTGGGTTAACCTGGATCAACCAGATTATACTTTTACTTCAGAACAGCTCTCTGTAAAAGATAATTTACAATAAGCAAACAGAACTGGCTATCCGTGACAGTCAATTGGTATGAGGAAAGTGTTTGATGATTCAAGGCTTCAATTTGTCTTTGTCTGTGCGGGCTAACTCAGGATTCAATCATTTTTAAAACACTTGAGGATTCTTTCTCCCTAGCTCATTTTGTTTCAGCTCCTTGTTTTAGGGTCTGTTATGATTTCTCTCTTAGCTTGGTTTGTTGAGGCGATAATGAAAAGTTCAATTGTAGTGAGAAACAATCAGACCCAATGGCCAGATGAAAGTAGGGCTGCTCAATTACACAAATCTATTTAAAACTATAATGAATGATGACCAAAACTTTTTGAATTGATTTTTGTAAGACATACAGTAATCAATGGTTTGCTGTGTTCGTGTGAGAAATAACATGTGTATGCATGTAAATGAAACAGGCATATTTTATAGCTCATGCCTTGCTTGTTTATGATGTGGCTGCATTCTTGGCCCTGATAATTGCTGCTTGTAGCTATAATATTTTCATAATCATTGGAGGTAAAAATTGAAATTAAATATAAATGCATAAAAGTGTGTATATACATAAAAATACAATTAAACTCTTGATTCTTCCTCAAAAAGATCAAATAATAATAATAATATACAATAACAACAGCTTCAAAGAAAACCACATTAATGCCGAGTTCAGACTGCATGATTTTCAAAGTAATCGTGTCACAGATGTTTTCACACTGCCTGACTATCTTGGCTAGCATTTCCTCGCTGCTTTGTTTACACTGCAAGATGGATCGGAGACAGGGACTATCACATTGCATGACTTTACTATAGGAAGAATCGCCGACAACTTCGTCCAAACTACGTCTCACAGCCTAAAACACGTAGTATATCTTTTGTTATTAACTACATAATGAGAAAGAAGCCTTTAATGGGGTACAAAATGTACATATTTGCTCACCTGGGTTTGAAGGGAATTAGTCATTTCTCCTCAACTTAACTTGATAATAAATTAATTTCTTTTTTAACTTTCTGTATGAAACGTCAAACAGACACAGTTGCTCCTGAGTCCTGTCAAACCTCCACTAGTTTTTCTTCCATTTCGTGGGTCCAAATAAAAAGAAAATGAGCACTTTTAACTTCTCCCCCAGCCTCCCGCTGGCCTGCAGGTACACACACACACACACACAGTGGATGCTAACCTCTCATTGGCTGTAGGCGATTGCTGATGTTATTTTCAGTAAAAACTTTCACATGGCATGATTTGAATCGCTGACAGCTCCAGATATTTAGCACACCAAATATCTCACAGGCATTGGCGACTCATCGGCGATTCTCTCAGATCTCGTCTTTGATAGTTCTACTGTGTGATTGTCACTCACGTGCACGAGCACTGATTTGCCTGTGATGTCAGACATTTGTCTGCGATTTCTCAAAACCTGTTGGCGAGCCAAAATCTGGGCTAAAATCACACAGTCTGAACTACGCATAAGCTGCTGTTTATCCATTCTGACAGATGTCTGATATGTTTGAAATACCAGAACACAAACATGTGCGTTTTGACCAAGAAGATGCGAGTTCATTAGTATAGGCCTACTTAGAAATATTGCCTTATGAAAAGATGAAAATGAAATACTGTAAAACTGTAAAATATAGTCATATTTGAGTACATCCCCTTTTTGAAAATATTTGTATCCATTTCTCAGTGAATAAAGGCAATGTATTTTGATTCATTAAACAGATATATTAAAATAGTATTTAGGTCACCATCATATTTAGAAATTGAAAGATAATACAATTAAACTCAAGCAAAAAAAAAAAAAAAAAAACTCCAAAATTTCAATAAAAATTTTCTTCTCTTGATTTTTACTCCTTTTTAAATTTGTATTTAATATTTTTTATGACATAAATTTGGGTGTACTGGTTTTTGGACCGCTATCGTAAGTTACTTTGTCAGATGAGCTCCAGATTTGGCTTCAGTACTGACTAATCCAATGTATATGCACAAATATAATATCGCAAAACTTTCTATTAAAATATGAAGTTAAAAGTTACTTATATATGCTGAGCACTGTATATAGTAACATATCAATCAATCTACAGGTCTGAAAACTTCATTAGAGCCCACTGATGCCTTTTATTAAGTTGTCTGTCATGGCAGTTTAACAGGCAAAACAACATTTCTTACCTGCTATCTTCATGTTCATATGAGTGTCCAGGAGCAGGTTCTCAGCCTTCAGGTCTCGGTGTACGATATTTCTCTGGTGGCAGTACTCCACCGCTGAGAGGATCTGCCAGAACTTCTTCCTCGCATCCACCTCACTGAGCCGCCCGCGGCTGGCCAGGTAGTCTGTGTTGCCAGACAGGGATCAGGTGTTATTGGGTCGTCATCTGCACATCCAGGCAACATGTCACAGTCATGAATTTTTCATGAAAATGTTATGCAGATTGTGACAGTGAGCAGGGAGAGGGCAGGAAAACATCTGTTTATTGTTGTTGGTCATAGAAGACCTGAGTAAATATGTTGGACTTGTCAGTATATAAAAAGGACAGCAGGTAAAACATGATCAGTTGGATGCATTACAGCTGCACACTTATTTGAAATTAACAATTTTATTTATTAATTTATTTTTTTTGCCTTGAGGTCTGCTTAAAACAGGTGCTCACTGTGTAATTTCTAATGATTGTTCTCTTCCAAATAAAATGACTCATAGATTGTATGTGTGAGCAGCTTAACTTTAAGCTAAGGTTTTACATTAAGTTTTAAAGTTAATCGACCTCTATACTGTAAAAATATCTGTTTTAGGTATATTTTTTGCATATTTACAACTAACAACTTTGTGTGGATATGAACAAATGTGGAATCAAGGGAGTTGTTTCCACTTATTATCATGGTAGTATGAAGAGGATTAAGGCTGAAAGTCACCGAAGCGAAACAAGACCGCTCAATCAACTGCTGATAAGAGACAAGAATGTATGGAAAAGCAGCGGTGCTTTTATTATGCAAAAGTCAACCACTTCCACTTTTTCTGTCCACAAACCAGGATTTAAGCATTTTCTTTTATAATTGTACTGACATGTGGCTGTGGCAAAAAAGTAAAGATGGTAAAATCTCTAAAAGCTCATTCTTGATCACATTTGATGATTGATGATCACAGAGAGCTGAACAGAACTTTTTATCCCAGTTGCTTTGCTCACATCCTGTCTTGTTGGTATGATTATACGGGTTACTATGAAGACATGTTAATACAAGGCTGTCAATCAATTGGGTGGGTGGGAAAACATTCCTAAGTCGTTCCCGTGGGCCTCAAAACGTGTTTAAAAAAAAAAAAAAAAAGACTTATCGTCTTTATATCACCCTAATATGACTGTGGACACACTATACTACACTATACATGTTTTGTCCAAACAGCTTCCAAAAGATGATTTTCATCATAGGTGCCCTTTAAAGTGTCTTCAGTCATTCCCGTTTTCTTTACAGCCAAACTGGAAATGGAGGGTGTGTATGATGCCATAGCATTATGGCTAGGGCCAGACAGAATCTGCGGACGTTTTTTGCTATTTCTGCGGAGAATTTTGATAAAAATCTGTGGATTTCTGTGGAATTATTTTGGGAGTATCATAACTAAAATCTTAATATACAAAATAAAAAAAACAATACCTTTTTAACTTTTATTTCATGTTTAAAATGCAAATCCAATTAGATCCACTTTATTTGGTAAACAAAGCAAGTCTCTCATATAATAGATCTACTAAAGACAGAAAATATGACTGTACAAACTGCATTGTACATTAATCACATTAATATTTTCATATTAGTCAATAATATTACTGTGATTAATTAAAAAACTGAATAAATATAGATTTACACACATTTACTCAAGTAAATAAACAGAATCAATGATGGGCTAAAAATCTGCGGAAATTCTGCAGAAAATCTGCGGAATTCTGTGGGCGCAGATTCTGTGTGGGCCTAATGATGGCAAATGTCATTTAACACTCGCTCTTTTTCCCCCTGGATTTGAAACATTATTTAAAACATTTAGCGTAAATTTAAGTACTTAATTCAGAAAATAACACTTTTCTAGTGGTTTTTAAATATTTTTTGAAAAGACAAATTACGCAAATTGTGCCTTTAAAAGCCCTCTATATACTCTATTTGTAAATTAGCTCGTGATTCACAGGTGTTTATTTACAGCTCTGTATGTCATTCTGACCTTGATCTTTACTGCAACAGTTCTGATGTTGTAAATTTTATGCTGTAGTTCAACGAAATGTCTTTTATTGACACTTTTTAAAAGTCTGAAACAATAAATTATATAAAAAAATTAAATAAATCAATACAACAATAGAAAAAAGTGGCAACTCATTACCCAGTATTTGTATAGTATTGCAACGTTTAATTGAACTCATCATTGCTAAATAAAACTTAAAGAACAGAAAATGTATTTTAATATTTACTGACCTTAAACTTTGAAGGTACAGTAAATGTGTTTTGTTACAAATCATCAACTATTAAATTCATAAATATCATTATTTGAGGATACATACATTTTTGAGGATACTTTGATATACTTGACATTAAATTACAATCTTAATCCATGATTTGTCTATGTATTTTAAAAGAATTATTGAACTTGACAGTCAAGAGAGATCACAGGGATCCTCGATATGATACTTTTTCCTGTTTGATTGTTTTTTTTTAATGCATTTTATGATTATTTTCTATAAACTGTAGCATCTAATTCATTATTCATTATTTTCTAATTCTATTTTATTTTTGAAACAATCTTAAAGAGGTGATCCACTACAATATCATATTTTAGTACTTTAGTTGATCTGTAATGTATCTGTGTAAACAACATCTCTGAATGTAATATGCTCAAAGTTCAATGCAAAGGGAGATATTGGCTTTTACAGAGTTAGCTTAGAAAAGCCTACAGCAAATGAAGTTTGGAGGCTATAATACATTGAGGCTAGTGAGATCACAAATAATTCGTGTTATGCTCATTCACCATGTGCATACACCCTGCGCAGAGGCGCTGTAATGTAGCAGAGAAAACGCTTAAAACGCTTCCAAAAGCTGCTATTTCCACTGTACTTCTTCTGTTTCTGTATTTGGGCTTCCAATGGACATGGCACAAAGAGAGAAGAGCTTACAATTTAATTTTAATTATTCATTCATTCATTTTCTTTTTCGGCTTAGTCCCTTTATTAATCTGGGGTCGCCACAGCCGAATGAACCACCAATTTATCCAGCATGTTTTTACGCAGCGGATGCCCTTCCAGCCGCAACCCATCTCTGGGAAATAATTTGAATTATGTTTCAGAGAATAATAAAAAAAGATAGCTAGCATTAGCTCCCAGAATCTCTCCCAGTTCAGTGCTGGATTTGACTAAAAACTTCTCCAACCGACAAAACTCTAGATTGTGAGTCACAACCTGTAAGTATTTTTTGTAAAAATTGATCAACTACATGCACAGTTTCTAGCATTAACGGTATGTTGTAGCAAGGACGTAAACAATGTTAAATGCAGTTTGGCAGTCAGCAATTCAGCTACATTAACAATTTAGTGTCTCTCTATGCGGCTGCTTTTCCTGCGTTTTACATCTCAAATAACAAACTTGCGAAAGATTTGTGAATGTTTCATATTACTCACACATTTTTATTCCAAATATATGTGAAAGACCCTTGTTAGATTTTATTTTAGAGAGCAGGCATGAGGTTCAGCTGTGTCCTCTGTGTCATTTTCTGTCTGATTCAAACTGACACGGATAACAGCTACTCTGACTGAAAGTGTTTACATAGCACAAAAGTGCGTGCTTATAGAAGGGGCGTGGCACTTTTCCTGGTGATGTGGAGCTGATCGGCGAATCACAGCACATTATGTTAGCTGACCAATCAGAGCCTCTTGTGGACGGGCCTTTCAGAGGAACTAAGAAATATGATCATTTTCATGTTAGCTGAGTAGCTGTATATAATTAAAGATATATGAGCAAATAACGTGAGTTTCCACAAATGTAGCATAAGCACACGTTGCTTTGCATCTTCTGAACACCACCAACTCTTAAAAATACAGTATGGACCACCCCTTTAATGTGTTAAGATTAGCTAACACATTAAATAATATGAACAATTTATGAGCAATTTATTTTTGATAGCGTTTTATAACCTTTTTAATAAACTGTATTTTAGTTCACCATACATTAACTAATGCAACAAATAATGCGTATTAAGGCCCAATTCCAAATTTACCCATTAGCCCTTCCCCTTACCCCCACCCCTAATTTTGCGCATTCCTGTGAAGGGGTTGGGGTGTCCCAATTCTCCTTAGCTTAAAGGCGTAGGGGTAAGGAGAAGGGGTAGATCATTGAATGGAGATTTTTCAGGACCACACTCAAAACCAAAGGGGTAAGAAAATTTCACAGAAAACAACGACAGCATAGCTGCACCCGGCAGTCAGGAGATGTACAAATTAGTATTTTTTGTCATTATTATGAATTTTTACAACAAACAAGCACATGTTTTAATATATTCATAACATCATTTGTGTTTTACTGTTATGCCACAAAAACCCAGTTAAAAGAAAAACTGCTAAATGTTGTTATCTATAATCCACAATAATAACTCTTGTATAGCAGTCCCATGACATTCTGTCACTCGATTATCCCAGAATACCCTGTCAGAAAACTGTAGTGGCTGGGAATGAGCTTTTTTAGTGTCTGGTATGATGTTAATGTTGTTTTTTGGTGGGTTTTCATAGATGAATATGGCCACTGTGTAAATGTGCAGTATAGTTACAATCTTATTGCTACATTTTAATGTTATGATAACGTAATATATGCCTTTAGTGATTTCTTGAAGATAAATACCAATAAATAACGCAACTAGCATCAGGGTTGTCTAATCTCATATAAAGCAAGAGATCGCAATGGCATATAATAACCTGTGCAGGTGCTGTATTGCCATTTCTGAGGGTTACATTTTAAAGCCCTTCTCTTCACACTCGGTTTTAAGGGCCACAGGGAAGGGGTAAGGGTAGGGGTACAAAAATAGAATTGGGATTGGGCCTATATAATGTAACATCTCTGGATTCTAATTATTCATTCATTCATCTTCTTGTCTGCTTAGTCCCTCTATTAATCCAGGGTCATCACAGCGGAATGAACTTATCCAGCAAGTTTTTACGCAGCGGATGCCCTTCCAGCCGCAACCCATCCCTGGGAAATCCACACACACATTCACACACACTCATAATCTATGGACAATTTAGCCTACCCAATTAACCTGTACCGCATGTCTTTGGACTGTGGGGGAAACCGGAGCACCCAGAGGAAATCCACACGAAG